GGCGTATGGCTTAGCGTAGCGTAGCGTAGCCCCCCTCCCCATAACTGTCCCCATACCGTTTCCCCCTCCCTCCCCCCCCCCGAATCTCACGCTCACTCTTCGCACCGTGCCCGCCCCAGCTGGGGGGGGGGGCACCGGACACTCTCTCATCCCTCCTCCTCCTCCTCCTTCTCCGCCGCCTGGCCTCTTCCTCCTCCTCCACGCATCCTCCTCCTCCTCCTCCTCATCATCCTGGCCTCCTCCTCCTCCTCTTCTGTGAAAATAACTTCTCCCTGTCGCACCCCCAGACGTGTCGGCAGGTCGTGCCGGGTGCCTCGCCTGAGACTTCCTCACCAACTGTGATCCTGAAGCTTGAACTGTGCTACAGGTTCAGAGGTAGGGCGGGTGGTTTTGTTAACATGTGGCCCTCGCCTTCGCGCCGCGCAAACTCGTCTTCAACGTTCGCTAGACATCCAAGGATGGACGGCGTGCAGTCAAAATTTGGCCCTCGCCTTCGCACCGCGCGCAGTCGTCCTAAAAATGCGCGGCACAGTTCAAGGATGGAGAGCGGGTCGCTTTCAAAATGCGGCTCCCGCCTTAGCGCCGCGCATAATCGCCTTCAAGGATGGAGGGCGGTTCGTTTTCAAAATGGGACTCTCGCCTTCGCACCGAGCGAATTTGTCGTAAAGAGGTGCAGCGGTTTTGAGGGTTCGTACGGTTGGTTGAAATCACAGAGACGGCGTTCTGGTACGAATTAGGATTGCACGGACGCAACAATCACGTTGATCCGCGGTGCTGAAGTCCCAGGAGCGGTGCCCTGGCATGAGTTACGATTGTCAGGACACATAAATCACGTTGATTCGTGACGTCGAAGTCCCAGGAGTTTCGTTTTGGCACGATTGAGAATTTTCGAACAATTGCTTTCCGATGGGGCAAATCCCGCAATGGAGATACAAGTTGTAGGGACCTAAGTGGAGGGAACGTGGACGGAGGGTGCATTGCAACATCGTTGATGCGCCTTGGGTTTACACTGGTCTTCCTCCTCCTCCTCCTCCGCCCCCTCCTTGTCCTCCTCCTCCTCCTCCTCCGCGTCCTCCTCGACCTTCTCGTCCTCCTCGTCTCTCCTCCTCCTCCCTCCTCTCGCCTCCTCCTCCTCTCCTCCTCCTCCTCCTCCTCCTCCTCCTCCCTCCTCCTCCTCCTCTCCTCCTCCGCCTCCTCCTCCTCCTCCTCCTCCTCCTCCTCCTTCCTCCTCCTCCTCCTCCTCCTCCTCGTTCCACCAACAGTGATGGGAACGCAACCATACTGAGAGGGGGGTGGGGCGCTTCCCAAGCCGTGGGCGGGCCGCCTCGATGCGCGCCAGCGCCAGGCCATTTTCCGCGTCCTGGGCTCTCTTCGGGTGCGCGAGGGGGGGGAGGGGGGGCGGGGGGGGGAGGGGGGGCGAACGGGGGGGGGACTGGACGGCGGGGGATGGGGGGTTTGGAGCGGGGAGGGGAGGGGGGGGAGGGGGAGTGGGAGGAGGGGGGGGGCTAGCGGAAGCGGCACATGGGGACTGGGGGGGAGGGCAGAACGAGGCAAGGGGAGGGAGCAGGGGGCGGCAACGCAGAGGCGGACGGATGGATAAGGCACCGAGGGAACGAGGGAGGGGGGCGCCGCGAGGTCGACGGCCGACGTCTTGACGCGGACAGCGCGAGCCGCCCCCCCGCCAGGACGCTGCAAGGACAAGGCGGCCGTGCGGTGAGCTGCCACGTCCGGGTGGCTTCGCCGTCCGCGCTGCCGAAGGCTGGGGCCTCACCCCAGAGGGGGAGGCCGGGGAGGTGGTCGTCGCCTTGTACAGGCTGGGCGGATCGGGCGCCAGTCTGCTCTCAGCGGAGCACCCCTGGGTGGCAAACGGGGGGTGGGGCGGGGGGCGAATCTGTATACCAGGAGGACGAGGAGCATGACGAGGGAGGGCGCGGTCGAGCTGGGGGGGACTTATGGTGCGGAAGAAAGCATGTCCGCCCTTTCCCACGGCCACTCCCATAACATCAGGGCCAATGATGGCGCAACTTGATCTCGGGACTGGCGCGCTTCTTTCCCTATAGACTATCCCCTATAGACTATAGAGCGGACGGAAAGCGCCAGATAAGCTAGAGAAAGACGGGCTGAGAATTAGGACAGGGAGAAAAACACAGACATAGAAACATGATGGCGGTAATGCTGATATGGTCCATTATGTGATGTTGCCAGGAAATCCGCCGATCCAGCGTGTGAGTTTAAGAAGTCTACGCTGAACCTCAGCGTCAGCACGAGCTTTAGCTCTGCTTGGCAGGGAGGGGGGAACGTGATTACCTGACGAATTATGTGCTCGGCACCTCCCCCCACCCTGCCAGGGAGGGGGGGGGGGCGGGGGGACGTAATTACCTGACGAATGTGCTCGGCACCTCACCCCACCCTGCCAGCTCCCAGGCGAGAGGGGGGGGGGGGACAGGAGAGAGGGGGGGGGAGAGGAGGGGGGACAGGAGAGAGAGGGGAGGGGGGGACAGAAGGTGGGGGGGGGTCGGACCCCCCCCTCCTCCCATTTGCGCCGGAAAGGGAGCCGGTGAGGGGGGGCCTCTCTCGCTTCTCCTTTCTGCGCCGCAGAAGGTGTGTAGGGAGTACGGAGTTGGGACTAGGGAGTGGTGAGTAGTGAGTAGTGAGTTAGTGCGTAGTGAGCAGTGGGTATTGGGTAGTGAGTAGTGGGTAGTAACTGGCGAGTAGGGAGTAGGGAGTAGGGAGTAGTGAGTAGTGAATAGTGAGCAGTGTGTACTGATAAGTGAGCAGTGAGTGGCGAGTAGTAGTAGTGAATAGTGAGTAACGAGTAGCGAGTAGTGAGTACTGAGTAGGGAGAAGGGAGTAATGAGTAGTGGGTAGTGAATAGTAGGTAGTGAGTAGTGGGTGGCGAATAGTGATTAGTGAGTAGTGAGTAGTGGGTAGTGCGTAGTGAGTAATGAGTAGTGGGTAGTGAGTAGTGGGTGGCGAGTAGTGATTAGTGGGTAGTGAGTAGTGGGTAGTGCGTAGGGAGTAGTGTGTAGCGAGTGCTGAGTAGTGAGTAGTGAGTAGAGAGTAGCGAGTAGTGAGTAGTGAGCAGTGAGTACTTAGTAGTGAGTAGAAAGTAGTGCGTAGTGAGTAGTGAGTAGTGATGAATAGAGAGTAGTGGGTGGTGGCAGTGGGTAGTGAGTAGTGAGTAGCGAGTCGGGAGTAGCGAATAGTGAGTAGTGAGTAGTGAGTAGTGAGTAGAGAGTAGTCAGTAGCGAGTAGTGGGTACTGATTAGTGGGTAACGAGTAGGGAGTAGCGAGTAGTGAGCAGTGAGTAGTAAGAAGTGGGTAGCGAAAAGTGGGTAGTGAGTAGCGATTAGTGCGTAGTGAGTAGTGGGTAGTGACTAGTGACTAGTGACTAGAGACTATGTAGTGAGTAGTGAGTAGGGAGTAGTGAGTAGCGGGACGTGAGTAGTGAGTATTGAGTAGCGAGTATGGGGGTAGCGAGTATTGAGTACTGAGTACTGTGTAGTCAGTATGGTGTAGGGAGTAAGGAGTAGCGAGTAGCGAATAGTGGGCAGTGAGTAGTGATTTGTGGGCAATGAGTAGTGAGTAGTGAGTAGTGGATAGTGGGTAGTGGGTAATGAATAATGATTAGTGAGTAGTGAGTAAGGAGTAGTGAGTAGTGAGTGATGAGTTGGGAGGAGGGAGTAGTGAGTAGGGAGTAGTGAGTAGCGAGTAGTGGGTGGTGGGTAGTGAGTAGTGGATAGTGAGTAGTGAGTCGTGAGTAGGGGGTAGTGAGAAGTCAGTAGCGAATAGCGAGTAGTCAGTAGTGGGTAGTGAGTAATGAGCAGTGAATGCTCTTTGGGGCTGGGGTTAGTGGTTGGGGTTCGGGTTACGGGTTTGGGTTAGGGTGAGGATTAGGGGTAGGGGTGGTGGGGGTCGGGTTCTGGAGTCAGGGGGCGGCGTGGCGAAAGGGGGGGAGGGGGGGGGGGTGAAAGGGGGGGGGGGGGGTCCCCGACGACGGAGGGGAACGGGGGGAGGGGGGGGGGTCCCCGACGACGGATCGGGAAAGGGGGGGGGGGGGGGTCCCCGACGACGGATCGGGGAAGGGGGGGGGGGGGGGGTCCCCGACGACGGATCGAGGAAAGGGAGGGGGGGGAGGGGTTCCCCTCCCCCCCCCTTGGGGAGATCCAGCGGCGCGCCCTCCCTATATCCCTATCACCCTATAGCCCTATAACCATATAGCCATATAGCCCATATAGCGCCCAAGAGCCCATATAGCCCTGTAGCCCTATAGCCCTACAGCCCTAAAAAGATTATGATTGGGTTTTCCTCTGGTATCATATATATGTATGTATGTATGTATGTATGTATGTATGTATGTATGTATGTATGTATGTATGTATGAATATATCAGAGCTTGCCCCTGTAGGGGTCCTGGCAGATTCGTGTGGTCAGGTGAGGCTCGCCGCCGATATCGGTGGCCGGCCCGGGTGCCCGGGTGCTCGGCGGGCGCCCGGGTGCCCGGGTGCGCCCGGGTGCCGTGGTGTCCGGGTGCCCGCATACAGCCCTGCAGCCCTAGCGCCCTATAGCCCTATAGCCCTATGGCCCTATAGCCCTGATAGCCCTATAGCCCTATGGACCAAGAGCCCTATAGCCGTATGGCCGTATAGCCCTATAGCCCTACTAGCCTTATATCCCTGTATCCCAACAGCCCTATAGCCCTGTAGCCCCATAGCCGTATAGCCCGATAACCCTATAGCTTCATAGCCCTGTACCCCTAAAAATATTACGATTGGCTTTTTCTCTGGTATCACATGTATAGAGAGAGATGAATGTGTATATATAAATATATAGAGAGAGATCTTTATTCCTCTCTCGCTGTCTCTCTCTCTCTCTCTCTTCCTGCCATTCCCCATAGCCAGCATAAGAGCTAGCCTGGTAGTGAGCAGCGCTTTCCTCCGTTCAATCTGGCGCAGGTCCGCTCCAGTCAGCAACGCAGGTGAGCGATTGGATCGAACATTTTTCAGCGCAAGGACATGGCACACGTGGGGGTCAGTCGTTCTATCTGCGTGAACCTGCCTCTGCTAGGCGCTCGACGGAAAATAACGTCAGGGTCAGCGCTGTGGCAGAGCAAGACAAGCATAGACGGGAGGCTGACATGATGAAGTAATGGGATGCGTAGATGGCGACGACGTGGGGAGGATAACGAGGGCAAGATGGAGTACGAGCGTAGGTGGTGCCAGAAGGAGGAGGGGGATAAGTAGGATCAGGAGGGGGATGAAGTGGAGAAGGAACGGGAAAATGCAAGGGGAACGAAGCGTGGCAAGGAGGAGGCAGAGAAGGAGAACGAGGAGGCGACAAGGAGGGGCGCAGCTTGTGAATGCGACGTGGTAGAGAGCCTGGCACGTAGGGGCTGGCAGGTGGAAAAGGACAACAAGCAAATCCAGACGCTCCGGGAGCAAATCCTGGCAGGCTGAGGTGCTGCTGCTCCTTATATCCTCCTCCCGCTGCCGCTGCCGCTCCTCCCCGTATAGAGGATACAGGTACACTATCTATGCGCGAAAGCCCCAGCCTGCGAGCGCGCGCCAGGCCGCTCGCAGCGTCACGCCCGCGACGCGGGGCCCGATCGAGCATTGGCTCGGCCCCCGCTGTCTGCGGCGGGCTCTCTGGGAGCCCCGCCGATCGCCGTCCATCCCTGCCTCCCTCCATCCCTGCCCCCCCTCCCCTCCCCCTCCCTCTCCCCTCTCCCCTCCCCGTCGCCCCCTCCCCCGTCGACCCCCTCCCTCCAGTCCGCATCCTCCCTTCCCCCCGTTGCCGCCCCCCTGCTTCCCCTCCCCACCCTCCCTTCGCTTCTCCCCGTTCCCTCCCTGTCCCCCCCCGCCCCCTTCTCGAACGCCCAGGTGCGTGCACCAGCTCTCTCTCTCTCTCTCTCTCTCTCCCTCTCTCTCCCGAATCTTCCTGGACAGCTCGACGCCCCCTTCTGGGGATCTCGAAAGCACTCTGAAGCTTCCAGGACAGCCCACGAAAGCCACCAAGGCCGTCAAGATTGCCCAACCTTGTCTTAAGACGCACCCCGAATCCTTGAATAATCACCCAGTCGGTCCCCAAGTGCCTCCACCGAACCCACCGAGGCCCACAGCACGCTCTCCACCAGGCCCCCGAGAAGCCCAACGGGCTCGTGCTCAACATGGTAAGTAACCGCGTGTTTCGTGCTCCGCGCTCTTCGACCCACGGTCTGCCCGCTTGCGATCGTCGAGGGCCCCACCGAGAGCCCCGAGAGGGCCCGCAGACGGCCGCCCGGGAAGGTCCACCTGTAGCCCCAGGCTGGCCCACGAGGGCCTATGGAGCGACCCAGGGCGGCCCACGAGAACCCCAGAACGGCCCAACAACGCCACGAGACGGCCCCACCGACGGCCCCCCAAAGGGACCCCCCCCTCGGAGGGCCAAGGCAGCAGCCGGACGCCTCGGAGGGATCCCGACGAAGCCGAAGCAGCCCGAACGGGCCGCACGAGAGCTCGCACGAAGAGGCGGGGACGAGAGGCGTCACGCGCGCGACGGCCTTCCGGGCGGCGCCCGAGGGGTCGCCGCACAGAGCGCTCACCGCTGGCTTCGGGCTGCAGGCTCGCCGCGGGCAGCTCGGCACAGTGCGGGCCAGGCGCGCGCACGCCGCGCGTCAAACCGCGCCATCACGCGAGCACCGCGCGCGCGCACCGAGCGGGCACCACACGGGTCACCCGACGACGTTGCGGCGCACGTGCGTTGACGTGGCCGGTGCGTGTGGCGTGGCCCTTGTCAGACCGCTCTGGCACAATCACCTGTGCACGCGCGTGTCCGTATCACTGTATGGGTACGCATATGCCTACACGGATGTGCCACACACGCCTTGCAGCGGCACAAGCAAAGCATTGGCTTCACATGAAAACGTTTGCCAGGGGTACGGCTGCTCAAGCTGTAAGAAAGCAATCAGACTCTCAACTAACTCAAGATAAATCGAGCATCGTTGGTTTGAAATGCAGCACTTGCCAAATATCACGAGGCCGTGCCGCGGGAGGCAATCGCCCTGCTTTCCATGCTAGAACCCGTGACAATTGCACGATGTCGTGCATCGCACGGCCGGCGGCTGACCCCGCTCGAAACGGCGCTGGCGTGAGGCTTCGGCGATAGGGTCGCGCGCGTTGACGTCCCACGCGGCGGTCTCCACGCTTTCATGCCCCGCCCGAACGCAGGCCTGCCCTTTCGTAGCGCCTATTAGGCTCCGCCCGTCCGGGTCCGCCCGTCCGTTCTGACCCGGCCACCCGAGTTATGGCCCCACGCGGTGGACTTCCTCGCGATAGTGCGTCTACTGAGATTTGCTGATGGCTTCCCATTGCTCGCTTCCGTCACGTCCTCTTTGGAGTCTTGCTAACATATTGCGCCTTGGGAGGCAACAGCAACATATAAGGGAGTACGCTCCATGTGCTGATGGCCAAGAGCGGAGGGGGTATAATCACTTTCAGCAACTATGGTACCTTTCTCCTACCCCCCACGTCCCCTTATACCTCCTCCTTGCCAATTCCCGTCCCCCCCCCCGGCCCCAACGCCTTACTTCTCCTTACCCTGCCTTCCTCACCCCCTGCCCCCCTCTCCTCTCTGTCGTCCATCCCCCCGTGCCCGCAATCCACTCAATCTCCCCCGATGCCCATTTCCACTTCCCCCCACCTCATCTCCACCTCCCCCTCCCCTCCCCCGCTCCTCCATGCTACTTCACAAGTGCACAATATGAATTCTACTCTCCTCTCTCCCATGATGACGTCCGGAAGATATACGGTACCCCTCCGCGTACTGTTTTTTCCCTACCTAGGCTCTGCCTAGAAGGGTTCTTACTCTCTTAGTTTAAAGGGGCCGGGCAGTGCTACACGCCCCGGGCGGTTCCTCCAGTCCCCTGGGAGCGGTTCCCCCCAGTCCCCTGGGAGCTTTAGCTTTAGCTTTAGCTTAGCTTTAGCTTATATTTAGCTTAGCTGTAGCTTAGCTTTAGCTTAGCGTTTCGCTTATCTTTTCGTTTAGCGTTTAGCTTAGCTTTAGCTTAGCTTTAGCTTAGCTTTAGCTTAGCTGGAGCTTAGCTGTAGCTTAACTTTAGCTTAGCTTTAGCTTAGCTTTAGCTTAGTGTTAGCTTAGATTTAGCTTATATGTAGCTTAGCTGTAGCTTAGCTTTAGCTTAGCTGCTGCTCAGCTTTAGCTTAGCTTTAGCTTAGCTTTAGCTTAGCTTTAGCTTAGCTTTAGCTTAGCTGTAGCTTAGCTTTAGCTTAGCTGTGGTTTAGCTTTAGCTTAGCTTTAGCTTAGCGTTACTGTTACTACTAATGCTGCTTTCCTAGGGGTTCCAACTCCTAGGTAGGGTCGCACTGGGATAATAAAAAACACAAGATTCCCGGGAAACAGGTTTTCGCTTGGTTGTTGTCCAAACTGTTGCTCCCGCTGAAGCGCTGGCCTCATTCTCGGGCTTCCGCTCGTTCCGAATTGTGCTCCCGCTGTAGCTTTGGCATCATTTCCGCGCTTCTGGCCGTTCCGAATCGTGCTCCCGCTACACCGCTGACCTTCCTTTCAAATAGGCCCCGAAATCTAGAAAATGCCCCTCCGAAAAAAACATGGGAAGTGATTATACATTCGGTGCTGATTCGTTGATTTTTGGGCCGCAGAGGCCCCCCCACTTTGGGGCGTGGTCGTTTGCAGGAAGTACGTATCAAGCGGGAGCCCCGTTTCTGCTTCCAGAAAGCGATATTAAAAGCAGAGCCAGCGGGTGCTCTCCATCAGCCCCGCCTTGTGTGGAGCTTTTCGGGGAAACCAAGGAGCTAGACATGGAGCCACGACTCCAGACCGGCCCAGACCTCTCGAAGACGATCCACTTACCCTCCAAAGAACCTGGCGCCATGCCATTACATGCTGTGCGGTGCTGTGTTCTGCGCTGTTGTGCGATGCCGTGCTTTGCGTTGCAATGCTTTGTGATGCAATGCTTCACTGCGCAATGCCACGCCATGCTATGGCATGCTACGCGCTGCCGTGCTCTTCTACGCCATGCCATGTCGTGCTCTACCATGCATCGCGTACCCTCTTGCGATCATTGCCCAGCTCGACATCCGACCGTGCGAATAGAGAGGATATCCACGCTATAGTAAGGGACGGGAGGGAGGGGCAGGACGTCAGATAGGACGCGAGCGCACCCAGCTTGCCCCTCCCCCTCTACCCCCTCTCCCCCACCCCGCCCCTCTCCCCTGGGGGCGCGCAAACATGGATTAGCGATCCATGGATTGGCGCGCAGTCGCCAAATCCACGGATCGGGGGAGGTGCCGTCCCCAAAATGCGGCCGGTGCCGCCTCGTTCGGCGGCGGAAGTCCGCGATTTCCCATGGAAACGGGACCCGTCGCTAATCCACGCCCCCGCAAGCCATGTTGGCGACCGCCCGACCTCCCCCTGCCCCTCCTCACGTCGGCCCATGCACGTCTCCCTGCCGCTGCCTCCCCCCCCCCTCGGCCTCCCCGTGTTGAACACTGCCATCCTGACCGAGATGGGATCAGTGTTGAAGCTCGTACCGTGCGGGTGCGCCGCCTTCCCCCTCTCCCCCCTCTCCCCCGCCCCGCCCCTCTCCCCCCGCCCCTCACGTCGGCCCATGCACGCCTCCCTGCCGCTGCCTCCCCCCCCCCCTCGCAGCCTCCCCGTCCCGTGCGGGCGCGCCCCCTGCCCGAAGGCTGCGCGCCTCCCTCTCGCCGTGCTCCCCCGACGTGGTGCTCTCTCCAGCCCTGCCTGCGCCCCATCTGCTCTCCTGCGCCCCTTGGCGTCGAGCAGACGCCCAGCAGGAAAGCTGCACCAGTGACCTTCCTCGTCTCCCATGCAGTACCCCTCGTCCTCCTGCTCCTGCTCTTCCTGCTCCTCCTCCTCCTCCTCCTCCTCCTCCTCCTGCTCCTCCTGCTGCTGCTGCTGCTCCTCCTCCTCCTCCGCCTCCTCGCCCTGGGAACAGCCCACCCTCGCCAATCTCAGCTTCAAGCGTCGTCGTTAAGCGTTGCCACCAGCGGCGTCAGACAGCCTCAGAGAACAAAGAACCCCCAAAATTGCCGAGCATGGTGCTGCGCTGTTTGTTCTCTGGGTCGAACGCGGAGGCTATAACGAAGAAGCCTGGGCGGGAGGAGGGGGAGGAAAAGGAGGGAGAGGATGGGGGAGGATGAGGATGACGATGAAGATGAGGATGAGGATGATGACGAGGATGAGGAGGATTATGATGATGTTGATGATGATGCTGCTGATGATGATGATACATATGGTGATGCTGATGATGCTGATGCTGAGGATGCTGATGCTGATGATGTTGTTGATGCTGATGAGGATGCTTATGGTGATGATAGTGATGATGGTGTTGATGCTGATGACGATGATGCTGATGACACTGATGGTGATGACGATGGTGGTGTTGTTGTTGACGATGATGCTGATACTGAGGAGGATGAGGATACGTAAGAGGAGGAGAAAAGGATGAGGAGAAGGAGGAGGAGGAGCAGGAGGAGGAGGAGGAAGGTTGAGGAGGAGGATGACGAAGAGAAGGAGGAGGAGGAGGAGGAGGAAGAGGAGGAGAAGGAGGAGGATAATGATGATGAGGAGGAGGAGACATACATAAAACACAACATTCGCCTGGCGAAGGACCCAACCATCTGCAGTTGTGAGTCCAGTCGTTGTTAGTATTGCCTTCGGTGGATCTCCTTATAGGGGCCACGAAGCGCGTGAAGAGTCTGCCAAAATGGTGCAGCGCCGCCATGCGGGCGCTGCTACTGGGGCCTGATGTAGAGTCCCATTACTGGTTCCACGAAGCGTGTGAAGGGCTTCCCCAAATGGTGCGGCGGCGCCATGCGGACTGCGCCACTGGGACCTCAGGTGGAGCTCCCTATGGGGCCACGAAACGTGTGAGGGGTGTGCCAAAATGGGGCGGCCCGCCATGCGGACTGCGCCACTGGGACCTTCGGTGGCGCCCCCTGCGGGGCCACGAAACGTGTGACGCGTGTGCCAAGGTGGGGCGGCGCCGCCATGCGGACTGCGCCACTGGGACCTCAGGTGGAGCTCCCTATGGGGCCGCGAAACATGTGAGAGGTATGCCAAAATGGGGCGGCACCGCCATACGGACTGCGCCACTGAGACCTTAGGTGGAGCTCCCTATGGGGCCACGAAACGTGTGGGGGGCATGTCAAAACGGGACGGCGGCGCCATGCGGACTGCGCCACTGGGACCTGAGGTGGAGCTCTCTATGGTGCCACGGAGCGTGTGAAGGGTGTCTAAAATGGGGCGACGCCGCCATGCGGACTGCGCCACTGGGACCTTAGGTGGAGCTCCCTATAGGGTCACGAAACGTGTGACGCGTGTGCCAAGGTGGGGCGGCGCCGCCATGCGGACTGCGCCACTGGGACCTCAGGTGGAGTTCCCTATGGGGCCACGAAGCGTGTGAGGGGTGTGACGAAAACGATGACGACGATGACGACGATGATGATAATGGTGACGACGATGATGATAATGATGGTGATGATGATGATGGTCATGATGATGATCATGATGTTGATGACGACGATGCTGATGACGATGGTGATGATGACGGACATGACGATAATGCTGATGATGATGATACTGATGATGATGATGATGTTGATGATGATGTTGATGATGATGATGATGATGACGATCATGATGACGATGACAATGATGATGATGATGATGATGATGATGATGATGATGATGATGATGATGATTACGATGGTGATCATTTTTTCCCCCAACCACAACGCCACCAAGCCCCTGCAACACTACAGTCCATCAGTGCCCAGCTGCTGGAAGCCGTCGCCCATGGCTCCACCGGAGAAGCACCGGCAAACATTAAATGCCCAAGCAGATTCGCCGGGCGGCAAGGAAGTGCACAATGGCCCAACCGTCAGAGGCGTGCCAGCGTATGGGCCCGAGCCTGCAAAGAGCGAGCGAACTACAAAGTTGTGTGAACACCCCTATGGCACCGACGGCCACAACAACAAAACCAGCACAACTACAGCCAACGCCGGCACTACCTCCAGCGTCGACGCCAGCATCAACATTTTCGCCTGAAGGCACCAACGCCGGCGCCTGCACCTACACCGTCGCCAGCATCGACGTCAGCCCAAACGCCAGCACCTACGCCAGCGTCGACGCCAGCACCGACGCCAGCATCCACGCCTGCGTCTGCACAAGCGCCGAGGCGAGGAGTGGCGCGGGCACTACGACGTGCCCAGGTGGGAGCAGTACAAGTGAGGCGAGCAGGGTTGGTGTGCTCCCCACCCGTCTTTTCCCCTCCCCTCCTCCCTCCGCCGCCTCTTCAATTGGCGCATGGGGCGCCTCGTGCAACTTGGGGCTGCTGGTGGGCTGTAGGCCGCCCGGTCCTGCGAGTCGCTTCCGTAGGAGGCCGCTCCTGGCCCGCGCAGTCGCCGTCACCGGCGTGTCTCCATGCGGCCTCGCCGCACCCGCGTAGCTTAGCTTTGCTTTTACATCTTATCTGGTGCGCGATCCTCGCCCAGTTTCCTCGCGTCTTGTATCGACGCCCCACTCATACAGGGATGCCCGTTCCTTCGTTGTGTGCTATGCTGTCCCCGCTTGCCAGCTGCTTGTGTGCGACCTACTTATATAATGGTCGGTGGAACCATGTGGGATGCTCATACACAGCGCTTTCGACATCTCTCCGTGGCCGCGTCTTTTCCTCTTCCTCTCTCTCTCTTCCTCTGCTGATCACGATGGTGATCATGATGATAAGAATGACGGCGACGATCACGACGACGATGACGATGACGATGCTGATGCTGCTGCTGCTGCTGCTGCTGCTGATGATGATGATGATGATGATGATAACGATGACGATGATGATGAGGATGCTGATGCTGATGCTGATGTTGTAGATGATGATGATGATGATGATGCTGCTGCTGATGATGATGATGATGATGAACATGATGATGATGATGATGATGATGATGATGATGATGATGATGATGATGATGATGATGATGATGATGATGATGATGATGCTGATGGTGGTGATGATGATGCTGATGATGGGAGGAACAGGGGGGCAGCGGGAGGAGGAATGAGGAGGAGGCGGAGAAGGAGGAGGAGGAGGGGGAGGAGGAGAAGGAGGAGGAGGAGGAGTGAGAACGCGCGGCGCTGTCTTTCTAAAACGAGGACCCAACACCACAGGATGGTGCGGGGACAAAGAAAGACAGCGGAGGAGGCACGGGAGGAGGAACACCAGCAGCAGGGGGAGGATGGGCCCCCTTCGCGGCTGGCTGCATGCGGAGGGGGAAGAGATGGCGGCGGGTGGCGGGAGGGAGGGAGGGCTGGGATGGGGAGGGAGGAGGGGAGGGAGGGAGGAGCGGCGGAGGAGGGAGGGAGGGAAGGGGGGGGGAGGAGACCTGGAAAGGGCGGCGGACGGCGCGAGGGAGGGGAGGGAGGGGGGAGGAGCGGGCAGCAGGAGCAGGACGAGGAGCGGGAGGAACGGGAGGAAGAGATGCGCAGGAGGAAGGCCACCCTCGGCTGCACGCAGGGGCGACCGCAGGCGGGAGCGACCTCTGGTGCACGGCGCTGGGTGGCCGCGAGGGGGCCGCAGCCACGTGCGCAGCCCGGGGCTGGGAGGGGCCCCAGTGGGCCCGCGCCGACGGTTACTCGGGCGAAGGGCCACCCCTGCGCGGCTGACACCCGGGGGCCGCATCGGGCAACCGCCGCGCGGCGGGGGCCTCGCCTCGCCAGCCGCCCCCCCCCCCCCGCGCGACGGCCTGGCCAAACCCGCCGCGCGCCCGCGGCACCGCGCCCCGCCCCCTGCGAGGAGGCCGAGGCCGCCCTCGGGGGGCGCCGGGGCCCGGCGAGCCACGGGCCGGGGCCGCCCTCGGGGGGCGCGATGGCGGAAGCCGCCCGTGGCACGCCGCGCGGCCCTGGCGGGCCCTCCGCGGCTTGTCGGCGCGGCCAGAGCGCCCAGCCTCGGGCGGCCGCGCCGAGCGGCCCTGACGACGCGGTGCAACTGGGCGCGGCCCGCTGGGTGCGGCGGCGCCGCGCCTGCACGGGGAGGCCCGGCGAAGGGCAGGGCTCGGCGGCGATCGCGGGAGGCCCCGGCGTGCAGGTGGCCGCCTCGGGCGACGCGGTGGGGCCCGAGGCTGAGCGCGCAGAGCGGCGGAGGCGCCGCTGACCTGGGCGCAACTCCGCGACGGAGATCAAGTCGGAACGCCGAAGCCCCGGCTCGGGATGTACCCTGATTCTGCAACGTGGTCATCACCACTTTGCATCGCAGTGGCTCGGTCAGCCTAGCACACTGTGAACATGCCGACGCAGCCATTCAGCACCTGCGCAGCGACCCTCACGTCAGGAAGAACATGACCGTCGCGGTGAAATCATCACGCGAAGGCCTCTGTCTGCGCACTTTGGATCCTTCCAGCGAGATGTGAGGAGGGAGCTTGGAGGGATGGTGTATGGCAACATCGTTGATGCTCATTGGGTTTGCACTGGTCCTCCTCCTCTTCCTCCTCCTCCTCCTCATCCTCCTCCTCCTCCTCCTCCTCCTGCGGCGAGGGTGGGACCGAAGTCGGCGAGGACCACAAAATGCAGCAGGTGGGCCACCGACTCGAAGGGCGGCTCGTGGTGGGTGAGCGCCAGGTAGGCCGTGACCACGTCCTCGACTATGTAGAAGCCGACCTGGGGCCGGGCCACCACCCAGGAGCGGGAGGGGGGGGGGCCAGAGGGGGAGTCGGGGCCTCCTCCTCCTGCTCGAGCCGCGGCTGCTGCTCCCCGTCCTCCTCTCCTCCCTCCTGGGGAGGGGCGGGAGGGAGGAGGCGAGGGCGGAGGCGCCAACCGGGGCAGGCGGAGGTGGCTCGGGTGGAGGTGGAAGCGGTGGAGGCGGTGGAAGCGGTGAAGGTGGAGACGGAAAAGGGCGGTGGAGGTGGAGGCGGATGGGGAGAATGATACGGGAGGGGAAGCAGCGGATTTGCAGCACCAAAGCACGCCTGAGGTCAGGGGCAGATCGTGCTCTGAGATCATCATCCGCCCCTGCTCCTGCTCCTGCTCCTGCTGCTGCTTCGCTCCGTATTATTCCTTATCCTGCCTCCTCCTGCCTCCTCCTTCTCCTCGTTTTCCTCCTCCGCCTCCCTCTCTTCCTCCCTCCACCTCCTCCTCCTGCTCCTCCTGCTCTTGCTTGTCTCTCACTCTTCCTTCCCCAAGTGTTTCCACAACGGCTGTGGGAATACACAGCCCAACATATTGGCGCAGGGGGCGGCGGCAGTTCGCCGGCGACGTCCCAGAACATGTCCATCATTGGAGCTCAACGGCGGGCCCCATTCTGCGCGGAGATCCTAACCGTGCCCGCCAACCGAGCCGATTCGATCCTGCCTCCTCACTCCTCCTCTCCACTCTTTCTCCCCCTCTCCCTCCCCCTCCCCCCTTCTTGACGTCGCGCAACCTAAGGGCCGACGCCTGAAGCGTCCTCCTCCTCCCCCTCCTCCTCCTCCTCCTCCTCCTCCTCCTCCTCCTCCTCCTCTTCCTCCTCCTCCTCCATCCATCCATCCATCCATCACCATGTGCAATCGCCCACCCCCCATCACCTCATCGTCACCACCAGTCCTTCTCTCGTTCCCTCTCCTCCCCACCCCCCTCCTCCTGCTCCCCCTCCCCCTCCCCGCCTCCCTCCTCCTCCTCCTTCTTCTCCTCCTCCTTTTTCTCCTCCTCCTCCTCCTCCTCCTCCTCCTCCTCCTCCTCCATTGCTTTTCCTTATAGAGAATTCCTCCCAGTCGCACCCCGAGGCCGGTCGAAAGGGCGGGCTTGGCGTTTCGCTTTGTGCTTCCTCACCACTACTGACCATGATGCTTCGCAACTGGCAACAATTTCATACATGGGAGGAATCCGCCGACCCCTTGGGGTTCATCGGCGTGTGAGATGTTCCCCCTCCCCAAACCCCTCCCCCGGGAGCCCGGTCCGGTCCATTTGGAGGGGGGGGGGGGGTCCGGCCGGACGGCCCCGGACGGCCCCGGGCGGCCCGGAACCCCCCGGAGGTCTCATCCGCTCCCGAAAATCGTGGTAAAACACGTGACAATCGTGTAGGGACGCGTCTGGTGGCCTCGAAATGGGTTTGGGACGCCCCACGAGCGCTCCAAGACGTCCAAGTTGGCCCGCAGACGGGCCACGAGGCGTCCTCGACGGCAGAAGAGGTCCCCACGAGCCCCCCCGAGGGCCTCCGAGATGCGTTCCACAAGGGTCCCTAGACGCAAAAATTGAGCCATTCCCTTCGTGAAATGTGCATTTTCTATTTTTTTATAAAGAAATTCAGCTTTGGATCTTTCCGATGCTCCCCGACGGCCCCTCCCAAACCCGCTCCCAGACGGCCCCAGAAGCCTCGCAGAGGGTCCCCCACAGACCCCTAGAGGGCCAAGATGGGCCAACAGGCGTCCAAGACGGCCTAAGAGGGCTCCGAAAACGGCCCCAAGAGCGTTCCAGGAACGCTCCGAGTTGCCTCCACGAATCTCCACATGGTCCCAGACGGTCCAAGAGCGATCAGAAACATCGACGACGACCTCCCGACGGCTCACGAGGCCTCCCCAGACGCCCCCACAGGCATCCAAGATTCCCCCCAAGAGGCCCTCTAGACGCAAACAATCGCTCGTTTCCTTTGTAAAACGTATATTTTTTCACACGTGCGCCTTTGGGGGTGTCCCCCGCTCCTGGACGGCCCCATAGCCCCCCAAACCCGCTCCCAGACGGTCCAAGACGCCTCCAAGAGGGTCCGTACATAGCCCTCGAGGGCCCCATGACGGGCCAACTGACGTCCAAGACGGCCCAAAAATGCTCCGAAAACGGCCCCGAGAGCGCTCCAGGAGCGGTCCGAGTGGCCTCGAAGAGAGCTCCACATGGTCCTCGACGGTCCAAGGGCGATCAAAAACGCTGACGACGGCCTCCAAACGGCTGACGAGGCCCCTAAGACGCCCCAAGAGGCATCCACGATGCGCCCCAAGAGGGCCTCTAGACGCAAAAAATCATTCGTTTCCTTAGTCAAACGTATATTGTTTCACACGTGCGCCTTTTGGGGTGCCCCCCGCTCCTGGGCGGCCCCAGAGCCACCCAAACCCGCTCCCAGACGGCCCAAGACGCCTCCAAGAGGGTTCCCACAGAGCCCTCGAGGGCCCCAAGACGGGCCAACACACGTCCTAGACGGCCCAAAAGGGCTCCGAAAACGGCTCCGAGAGCGCTCCAGGAGCGGTCCGAGCGGCCTCGACGAGAGCTCCACATGGTCCTCGACGGTCCAAGGGCGATCCAGAACGCTGACGACGGCCTCCAGACGGCTGAAGAGGCCCCCAAGACGCCCCAAGAGGCTTTCACGATGCGCCCCTGGAGGGCCTCTAGCTCTATAAAATCGCCCGTTCTCTTCGTAAAACGCATATCTTTTCGTACGCGCGCCTTTTGGGGTGCCCCCTGCTCCGGGGCGGCCCGAGAGCCTCCCAAGACCGCACCAAGACGGTCCAAGAAGCCTCCACGAGGGCCCCGCGACAGGCCAAGAGGGCGCCAAGACGGGCGCAGAGAGGCCGAGGACGGCCCAAGAGAGCCCCGAAGACGACGCGCGCGCGACTCGCGGTTAGATTCCTCGCAACTTGCGTTGCTCCCCGCCGTGCTCGTCACTTGCCCCCGCAGGGCGTTTCGGCGGGTCTCTCCGCGGCGCCCGTCCCGCCTTATAGCACTTGGCGCAAACCACCAGAGTACCTCGGTGGAAATGATTCTTCTTCTGGGCTGTCGACAGATGGCCGCCGTCAGTGAACGTAGGCTTTGATCCGCCCTTCTTCAGGGGACATGCGGAACATTCCAACTTCTTCGCCGCCTGCCTTTGCTCGTGGCACGCTCGGCACACCACCGAGCGATGCTCCGAGCCCATCGCGAAGAAATGCTCCACCTGCTTATCTGTCAGATGCGTCCTGTCTGTGAATTCTCGATCTTTCCCATCTGCTTCTTTCGGGCACGCGGAGCACGTGAGCACTCGCGGCCGATTGCGCTCTTCCTGGCACGCGCGGCACATGACTGGGCGATGGTTCGAACCCGTCGCGACGAAGTGCTTCACTTTGTATCAGTCAGATGCGTCCTGTCCGCGACTTCTCGCTCTTTTTCCATCCGCTTCTTTCGGGCACGCGGAGCACGTCAGCACTCGCGGCTGATTGCGTTCTTCCTGGCACGCGCGGCACATGACTGGGCGATGGTCCGAACCCTTCGCGAAGAAATGCTTCACTTGCTTATATGTTAGGTGCGTCCTGTCCGCGAATTCTCCCTCTTTTCCATCTGCTTCTTTCGGGCACGCGGAGCACGTCAGCACTCGCGGCTGATTGCGTTCTTCCTGGCACGCGCGGCACATGACTGGGCGATGGTCCGGACCCTTCGCGAAGAAATGCTTCACTTGCTTATATGTTAGGTGCGTCCTGTCCGTGAATTCTCGCTCTTTCCCATCTGCTTCTTTCGGGCACGCGGGGCACCTGAACGCCCGCGATCGCTTGTGATGCGCGTCGCAGTCGCGGCATTTCACTGGCCTATGGGCTGCGCCCGTTTTATAATAGTGGTTGATTTGTTCTGTTGTCAGATGCGCCGCGTCCGTGAATTCCCGCCCTCTTCCGTCTGTGTCTTTTGGGCACTCCGAACACCTCAGCGGCTGTTCCTGGCGCGCGCTTTGTCGAGCAGTGTTCGCTGCATTCATCCACTCCGTTTTCTTCTGCGATTGGCTCCACTTGTTCCATCCGCCTTTCCTCTTCCCTGCGCACTTCTTGCAGAGCTTCTCCCCTGCGCCCTTCGCAGCGCACTGGTTCGCCGTAATTTCTGCCTCCGTCATCACGAATTCACAGCGTTCAGCGCAACGGATCTTGAATTTATCTCGTACATTCTGCTGCCACCTCTGAGACTCTTTCCGCGATTTCCTCCGGGCTGGTGGCCCTGCGCACCTGTCGCATTTGCTTGTCCGCACGAACACCCTGATCCTTTCGGACTCGGCCCCCGCCACTCTGGAGACCATCTCGGCCCATCGGTCACAAGTCGTGCACCACTTTTTCCCCTGCTCCCTTCAACATCTCCGTGCACTCGCAGCAGAAGCTGGGGCCCGACTTCGCGCCGAACTCATTCGTGCTGAATTCAGCCTTTTCCTTCACCTTCCGACATGTCCCGCATGTTTTCCGCGGCATCAACCTCTCCTCGATGTCGGGCCACGGCAACGCTTCCCCCCGCAACCTCTGTAACAGCAACCTCGTGCCTTCCAATACTCCTTGAGTGTACGGCTGTTTCGAAAATGGCCGATATATGAGCAGACCCTGCCGAGTCTTCACGCGCGTTATGGCCACGTAGCTCGACATCCAGCTCACGTTTCTGCCTTCCTCCAAGTCCGCTATTACCGCGTCGAGTGTTCGCCCTTGCGCTGCGCGCGCCGTGCACGCCAACCCAGGCGAAATTATAAACTGTCTCCGTCGCACCCCCAACACGGGCTTCTTTCGATACGAGTCCAGATGCCACGTCCGAGCACGAGGGACTCTTGGATGCAGCCCTGGCCCCGGCATCCCTTTGAGCGCCCACTTGTCGGTGTGAAAGTCCAGCGCGATTTGTCTTGGCATCTTACGCAGGACTCTCGACGACACGTCCTGCACGTTTTCTTCTTCTTCATCTACCACCCATGAATGTATCGTCGC